TTGAGAATCTGTCTTAGATGCTATATGAGTACTTTCATCTAGGATTGCTGGTGCTGAGCCCGTTTGAAACCAATCTGGATTCTATCATCTAGACTCAAGCGTTCAAAGGGCGCGTCTTCTTCGGCTCCACAGGTCACAGAATGTCAGTTCTCATCATGGAACTTCATGGAGCCATGCGGAACCTGAATATTTGAAATGCCCAGCTTCTCGACGTTGGCCAGTGCGACGTCCCAATTCACCTGAGATCTGCTCAGCACTGCAGCATCTAAAGCGAATCGGACCTGCTGCCGGGATGCTGAGTTGAAAAGCTCGTCGACGTTGCTCTGCTTGGCGACCAGGAGGGCACGCTTACCTATCAGCGGAGTGTCAGATCTCACCGAGCTGTGGATTCTCTGGCGCTCAGCGTGAAGTGAAACTTTTCTGCTTGAGGTGCCATAGGGGACGGACTTGAAGAGCTCCAAGGCAAGCCCGCCGGGGCTCCTCGGAGGTTCGCACACGGAGCTCTTTGAATGCTCTTCGGCTCATTCCGGACATGCCTTTTCCTCCCGCATCTCTTTCTGACCTCAGCCAAGGAGCATCTCAGCGGCCAGCCAGACCCAGCCCTTGCCGTCATCCTCACAGCCCGCAAAAGTTCAGGGACAGAAGAGACTTGTCCCCGCTTGCTCACCATGGCCCTAACTTATGGAGCTGATGCGTTCTCTGGCCAACGACTCTCCGAGCGTCCGCAACCTTCTGCGTCTCATCCACGCCATAGCCGACGCCGCCCTGTGCGGCAAGTTACTAGCAAAGACATGCCAAGACTGACCTTGCGGGCTCTAGGCCATCCATGTGTGGCTTCAATCCCCTGCCTTCGTCACGAACATCGGGTTGGCCATCTGCGCTTTCAGGCCTGCGACGCCCACACTGATGTCCTTCTTGCCAATGCTGCCTCGCCAAACAGCCCATCACATCTGAATGTTTTGAAAGATACTGCCTGCACGGCACACGCACTGCACACGTGCTTCACTCTTCTTGAATGCCAGCCCAGGGCGTCACAAAGGCTGGCCTGGGGGCGGGCCCTTCCAGAGTCCCGAGTAGCGCTTGAAGCCCTGAGGCGTGAACTCACCATGAAAGAACCTCAAATGCAGACGGTTTGGGCATGTCAATGCCTGCAGTGCAACTGGGA